TCTTCTTTTCTCAACACCCAGTGATTCTTCTGCCAGAAGCCCACATCATTAATGAACTCTAACACATGCTCAAGAAGACTGTAACGTCCTCCATATCTCAACTTTTGAGGAGATGCACACTGACCAAATCTGTGATCTTGAAAAAGACCCTTAAAGCGTCAAAACATGGATTGTTGTGTACACATAAATGATGAATTATTGATTATTTTTTTCAATAAATATACCAATCACCTTTAACCTATGACCTGCAAGTGCATCCTATTTTCTTTTTATGATATATATATATAAATATATATATATATATTACATACACAGTCATAGGACAAAGAAAGTACTCTTTGCCTCTAAATTCCTATGGAAGCAGTTAGGGTGTACTTAGTTTTTCACACACGGCTTCTCCATTTTGGCTTAATTTGCATTAAATAAATCATGACACTGCGTAATATGTCACATGTTCATTTACCTAATTTTAAGACCTGCTAAGGAACAGTTGATTGTTATGTCCTGTAGACATGTGCAATTCGTTTCGGTCCGAATATGAATTCGGACAAATGTCAGGCAATTCGGACATTCGGGTACTTCCGAATGTCCGAATTGCCAAGGTCCCAAAGTTCCGAATTTCCAAAGTGCTGAAGTGCCGAAGTTCTGAAGCACAGTATTGCTTAAGTACTAATATACTTACCCAGTGAAAGAAGAAGAATGTTACATTGTATACAATTTTAAATAAAAAGTATATAAACAGCCAGGATTCAGCTGTAAGCATTTGCAACACTTACAACAATCAAGTAACATACATTTATATAAAATGTAAGTTACTTAGCCTGTCAATGTAATGACAGGAATGAATAAGTAGATAACGCCTAATTCCCAGGTATTAGGGAGCTATTTACTAAAAGGCTGAAAGACCTGAATTGCTCTTTCAGACAAATTTACTAATACTAAGTAAAGATTACTTAGTATTAGTAAATTATGCCCCTACTCGCTATACCGCGAGTAGGGGCATGTCTATTAAACAGTGAGCAGCCTGTGGCTGTGCACTGTTAAAAAAATAAATAAATAAGGTCCCTCCCAAGCCCCCACCCTTGGCCCTAATGTAAAATAATGGGGGGGGATCTATTGCCCCCCCCCGGCCTCCACCACTGAGCGGCGGATGGGGGCCCTAAATCAGAATAAGGGGGGGAACTAATGTCCTCCCCCCTGGCAGGTGGGTGGGGGCCCTAAATTATAATAAGGGGGGGGGACCTAATGCCCTCCCCCCTGGTCCCCACCCCTGAGCAGTGGGTGGGGGCCCTAAATACTAATAAGGGGGGGGAACCAAATGTCCTCCCCCCAGGTCCCCACCCCTGAGCGGTGGGTGGGGTCCCTAAATACTAATAAGGGGGGACCTATTGTCCTCTCCCCTGGCACCAACCCCTGAGCGGTGTGTGGGGACCCTAAATACTAATAAGGGGGGGACCTAATGTCCTCCCCCTTGGCCCCCACCCCTGGGCGGCAGGTGGGGGCCCTATTGTCCTCCCCCCCGGCCCCCACCCCTGAGCGGCGGGTGGGGGCCCTAAAAAAAAAAAAAAAATATTCCCCCCAGGTGACTAGGGGTCCCCAAACCCCTAGTCACCCCCTCCCCCCCAAAAAAATCCCCCTACCTACCCACCTCACCCTAAAAAGTAATGAGGGGGGGACCTTTAACTAAGTACCTGTAAAAAACAAAACTTACCATTCAATGTTTTCTTTCTTCTAAACTCTTCTTTTTTTCAGCCCCAAAAAAGGCCAAATAAAAAACCATAATAACGGACGCAATTAAAATAAATAAAAAAAATAAAATAACCCATCTTCACCTGGCGAGGGCTCCGTGCAGGCTGAGCTCTGCAGGGCGGGGGAAGGCTTATAAAGCCTTGCCCCGCCCTGCAATTAGGCTCAAAGCACTCTGATTGGTGGGTTTAAGCCATGCAATCAGAGTGCTCTGACATGTAAATGAAGAGACTGACAGGTAAGGCTCTACATTTACCTGTCACAGCACTCTGATTGGTTGGTTTGAAATCTACCAATCAGAGTGCTGTATGTCATTTTACACAGCATGGGAAAGTTCTTTGTGGGGGGTGGGGGAGGAGGTCAATAGGTCCCCCCCTATTGGTATTTAGGGCCCCCATCCACCGCTCAGGGGTGGGGGGCCCAGGGGGGAAGACATTAGGTCCCCCCTTAGTATTTAGGGCACCCACCTGCTGCTCAAGAGTGGGGGCCAGGGGGGCAGACATTAGGTCCCCCCTTATTCTTATTTAGGTTCCCCCACCCGTTGCTCAGGGGTGGGGGCCAGGGGGGAGGACATTAGGTCAACCCCCCTATTATTTTACTTTAGGGCCTCCACCTGCCGCTCAGGGGTGGGGGCCAAGGGAGGGGAAATAGGTCGGGAGGGGGGACCCTATTTTTTTTTTTTTTTTAAAGTGAGCAGCCACAGGCTGCTCACTATTTACTAGACATGCCCCTACTCACAGTAATTTTTACTTAGTATTAGTAAATTTGGCTGAAAGACCAATTTAAATCTTTCAGCCTTTTGGTAGATAACTCCCTAATACCGTGGGAATTAGGGAGTTATCTACTAAGTGGCTGCAATAGAAGTCCCGAAGTGCCGAAGTCCCGAAATTCCAAAATGCTGAAGTTCTGAAGTTGCCGAATTCCCGAATTGGGAAAATCCCGAATTTCGGAATGCCGAACCGAACCGAGAATTTTCCCCATGCACATGCCTAATGTCCTGGTATAAAATGAGTATCTTACTATTTTATTTCTTAGAAATACCTTACAATATTTGTGTTACTTTTCAGAGAAAGAAAATATGTGTATATTTCTTCAATGGGACATTCAGTACTTTAATAAAATGAGAAACACTGACTTTGTTGAGACCTGTTGAATCCTACTTTTTAGCAGATGATATGTTTGATGGCTGTTGATCATTGGATGGAAGTTAAATTGATGTATTTTACATACAGGTGTTAGAAACAAGGAGGGATATTGGCAATATAATATAAATACCAATTAACAGATGAGATTACAGAAAGGGTTACAATTACAGAGAATGTTCAGAATGAACCATATATAAGAGGAATGAGAGAGTGGGAATGCAATGTGATGTGTTTAAGATTACTTTTTGGGGTGTTGAATGTCATCTATTGATTAAAGTGTGGAGAGGAATTTCCCCAAAGGAATGTGAGTAAGGAAACACATTCTTCTTGTCAGTATTTAAGAGGTGTGAGAACATATTACTTTACCTCCTGTCACATAGCAGGACAATAACACAGAATGCAATATAGTCTACAAGTTGTCAGGAATACTGAGAGACCCAACACAAAGTGTGTAATAAATAACCAAGAATAAAACTTATATCAGACCTAAGAGTGGCCAGGCTTAACGTAAAAAAGGCAAAGAATGGTCAGGGACAAGCCAGAGTCAGAAAACCGGAATAGTGAGGTACAATAGCCAAGTCAAGGAGTGTAGATAGGAAAATAGTCAGCAATAGCCGAGAGCAAAACCAGTAATACAATGAAAGAATAATAACGTGTTTATTGGGAAGCAAAATAGAACCACATGGCAAAGACCTGAACCTTAGCAACCTATTTATAGTCTGGCACATTAACGTTATAGCCATGCTCCTTCAATGTTCGAAATTGGCGATTTTAGTGCTGTGTGATGTAATCAGTGCCATGACGTTGGCGTTCACGCGCTGCATCATAAAAAGGGCAAACCTACAGTGGCTGGTGTTCAGATCACTGGAGGGAGGAGAGGGATCCTGTGAAAGGTCCCCAACCACCTGCTAGCATCCCCCACGTTGTGGTTACCCAATGGAAAACGCAAGGTACCCTGACACTTGCTTACAGGTTGGACATATTGGAATGGGTTATCAAGTACAATATGTTACTATGAATATTAAAATGTGTTATATAGTAAGGTGAAATCTTTGAATGATAGCATAACTATTGTAGCGGTTAAGCTGCCATAAATGCTATGGTGCCCTAGTATAAATAGTCAAAACTGCAAGAAAAATCTGTCTAGTTCAACAGAGCTAGGAAGAGCTGTAAAGGAGCGCTCTCATTGGCTGAGAGCATCAGCTGATAGGAGAATGCAGATGCGGGGCAGTAACCCAAGTAACTTCTTCAACAGTTTGACGTCTTACTCTGGGAGGGCGCCAAGCTGGTCTGTAGTAGCTATGGTGCTAAGATTGTTCCTTTAATGGTGTCCTGCCTTTTGCCTTAGTGATACTGATAATTTATTAAAGAGCTCATTTCAAGTAATCTATAGGTTTGTCTGCTGATTTATGTTCACATCCTATTACAATTAATTATCAGATATCAGATTATCTCCATCGTATCTGATTTTCTGCCTCATCAAGATCGATAGTCCAGCGAAGCAGATGCAAAATAATGAAGTATTGCAGCATTTTGCAGTTTTAGTGTTCCTGCCAATGTGGTTCCTACAGTTTTTACAGCATAAGAGCCATTCACGTTTTTCATTATCTTCATACATCTGATATTTGTTTTATACATTGTTATACTATTGTTTTTCACAATAATGGTGTGTTTTTTTTTTCTTTCATGTGGTTGCAATTTTAAAAGCATTCCTTTTTATTTCCATTTTATTTTTCTCACTAGCATCACTGCCAAAAGCCCACATTTAATAATGCACACTCTCAAACATATTGTGTACTCGAAGTCAATACCATAAACCAGCATGTCATTTGTTAGGGGTAACTATTACCCCATAATTATGCCCAGTGACTCGTCTAGGCAGTATTAAAATATAATGACTCTGTATTTAATATATGACCCTGCCTATAGCAATCTATTTCACATGACAAAAGAAAACACAAAGGTCAACTCAGGTAGAATGTATATGGTAAAATATACTCAGGAGACTTAAAGAACATGTTGAACAACTTCAGTGTGACTTGAGAGTGTAGAAACAAATTGTAGATTATGCTAGCTTTAGTGTACCTATAATTTTAATTTTATTAATGACAGGAGGCGAATATTTTGCTTTAGACTTTCTTTACACAGCAGCATAACTTTCACATAGTAACGGGATAAACCAATCAGAAAAAAGGAACACAGGCAATAAAAGTCCCTCCCCCAATCAGCTCTTCCTCTTTCTGCCTGCGAAACGGACGAAACCGGAACTGATGAATGAACTGGAATAAAGCTTCAGATGAGATGAGTCCAAGATTAACAGGAACTGCCTTGAATCTCCACACTGGAAGGCCTTTTAAATTGAAACGAAAGAAGAGAGTCGAAAGGAGGGATTAATCTGAGAATTGGACTCCTAAATGCATGAAACCTAGACAATTTAAATTCAGAGTTTAACCAGTTATAGCTACTAACTAAAAAAAATGACATGCTATAAGAGAACTGCAAGCCTACTCACCCCTCTGTCCAGAAGTCATACCTGATGAAGCAAACAAACGGGACAGGGAAAAGAAAAATGGGTGGGAAAATATTTGCCTCCTGTCATTAATAAAGTTAAGATTATAGGTGCACTAAAGCTAGCATATTCTACAATTTTAAAACATGACAAGAGGCTTCATATTTTGCTGTTTTAATGCTCAACAAGTAAGGGTAAGAAAGCGTGCACAGCCGGACGGAAGTAGAAATTGCGGAACGTCTCCTCCCGGGACCAATCTGCGTAGTTGAGGATATTGTGTAGAGAAGCACATGCCATAAATGCACCTGAGGCCGCCGCCCCCCGACCGAATGTGCCCCAAAGGAAGCTTCGACCTCCGCTAAGGAGAGTAACCATCTGATCCAACGTGCCAGGGTGGTGGTTGAGACTGGGGCATGGGAGTGAACGTACGAGACTAATAGTTGACCAAAGGGGGAGGAACGGAGGGAAGCAGTAACGGCTGAATAACGAGAGACGGTAGACACCACACATAATTTTGGGAAATTGGGAAAATAAGGATAGAAAATTTTGGAGGAATTGGATTTCGTATGTTGGGATATGGAGAAGATAACCCCTTCTGGGGAGAAGGTGAAGGCATCGTAGTCAAATGCCCGCACATCGGAAACCCGGCGAAAGGATACGAGGCAGAGCAGTAAGGCAAATTTTTCAGAAAGTTAGCGAAGAGAAAGATCCGTGTTATCGTGCCAGAGCTGCGTGCGCATTCAAACCGCCCACAGAAAAGCATTACTCAATGTTTTCATATGAACATCGAGCATGTCCTCAGTGCGATTTTCACATTGAGGATCATGGAAGCGCCTCTAGTGGCGGTCAGGGACACAGCCACTAGAGACTGGATTAACCCTCAATGTAAACATAGTTTCACTGAAACCACTTTGTTTACAGCTGCAGGGTTAAAACTAGGGGGACCTGGCACCCAGACCACTTTATTGAGCTGCCTTTAAGTGTTCAGCAACTTTTGTAGTTTTAACTTTATAGCTGCATTTTAGCAGCCAGGAATGTGGAGGAAGGCTCTCAGCTTACTCAGTATTAATTGCTAATTGTAATAACAGCTTGCAATGTCCTATATTGCACCCATGGTTGGTGTAACTATTTACAGCATATGGGCATTATGCATTATATTCTGCTTAACTTAGAGAAAGCAGTTTCCTAGATAATGGAATAAGATTTTAATTACACTTATTGTATGTGACAAAAATTGTATTTCTGCTTTTGAGCTAATATTTAGACCCTGTCAAAACGATAGAAAAAACATTTTAAAACAAATAAAACAAGGAGAAAGAGAAAAACATTTATGTGATGTAATGTTATTAAATATTAAATGTAATCAATTTCATAAACATAGACTAATCTAAGGAAAGCTAGTAGAATGCTGGAACAGGTTTAAATAATTGCATGCATTAAACCCACAGTAACTCCAAACATAAAATAACAGTCACACAGTGCATCAAATTACATTCTCCATAATACAGAGGATGTAGAAGTCCCAAGACACCGTCCCAAGATCTGATTTTAGTGTTTCATGAAAAAGTGCTGGTAACTTGTCTATGAATAATTAAAAATACAAAGAGTCCAATGTCAATATAAAAGCCTAGCCAACAAAATACACTTATGCATTTGTAAAATAGAGTAAATGAAATAAATGTAAAATATTTTTTTCTGTACTTTTGGACTAAATAGACTAATATGGACTATGTTTTTAGGTTTATTTTGTATATATAATGCTCTCTTCAACAGGCCCCAGGCCAGCTTCCTTTAACATTGATATTGTACTTCTGTGTTTTTCTAATTATACTGTTTGCAGATATGAATATACTCCTACAGTGCAAGCTGTGATTATCACTATGCATGTTCCGTGTGTACAAAACAATACCTAAAATAGTACTATTTTTTTTTTTTTTGTTGAAAGGGACATAAGCGTATCCAAAAATACAAAAAGGCACCAGCTCAAGAAATGAACATTAAAGGAAAGATCATATCTGGAACAAGTTATAGGGAACGAGAAACATCTGTTAAAACAAAGTGAATTTGCCGTTTTCCTCTTTAACTGAGCAAAATGAAAGTAGTGTAAAAGCAAAATCAGAGAACAAAAATAGAATCAAGCATGAAATATGGCTGGAACCTTGGGTACACGCAATGCAAATGTTTAGAAACATGCATTCTCCATAAGGTTATCTACTAGTGACGAGTGTCCAGGAAGGATCTCATCTCCAATAACTTTTACAAACATGGTAAACTTACAGACCCAGAGAGGTGTTGAAATGAGAGTAAAAACTGCAAGCGTATTAACACTAAGGTTCTCTGTGGGAGTAAGCCAGAGTTTATTTAGTATGTTAAATGGTACCTCTAAGTACATGGATCTTGATGATATATGACTTTCTGTTCCACTTCAATGAAGCCATTATCCTGTTTTTCCAGATGTCCTGTTGATTGGGAGATAATTCACCATATGAACAGCACAATATTGCTTTCTAGAGACCTATTAAAAGGACAAGAATCATGGTTGAAATTGTAGGATATAATAGGGGAAACATTGTGATATGTAAAGGTAGAAGAACAAGATGCTTCCTTGTTTTCTCCTCCATGTGAACTTTGAAAATTAGTCCCAGTATAGTTGGCCATTGCATTCTTTGCGTGGGTACAGGAATAAAATGAAAAATAAAAATAAATGTAGCTTTAAAATAGTGTTCAGATAATATTGTCAAAATTGCAGTTTATTTATTGGTGGTGAGTTCTACAAATGTTTCTCTTTGCATATATAACATGAAAAAATTTTATATGGAAAAAATAAATATTGTTACATGTAGCTATATGGTGCAAAAATATGTAATTTCTAACACAAAAAAACCCAAAAACAAAGAATAGCAAAGAAATGAATATGATCAAACCATTTAATATATAAATACTCATTAAAACGGAAGTAGGTGAGCACTTGTGACCAGGAGATAGAAAATTAGCACTCCTCCCCATTTTACATATGTTTTTGCTCTATCGAATTAAATTCTGAGATGCCATACAGTTGGTAGTTTGGTCTGTGACCCTCCAGGCAAGTCTTCTTTCACGTGAGATTTGCATGGGAAAATTGTCTTCCATGTACAATAACTGCACAGGCATTAGTCTATTAATATAGTAAACAGCCAATCGCTGCTCACTGTTTAGCAGGAATGCCCCCACCTTCGGAAAGGAGAGTAGAAGAATGGAGAAGGTGTCAAACCTCCCTTGTACTAATATGGGGGTAATTTTGACTCCCATAGGCCTTTATTTGTTTGTAATAACTAAGAGGTAGTTATGAAAAAGGCTAGCAGAGCAAGGTGGCCGTATGTGTTCTCTGGGTGCAAATATGCCTCCTAAATAAGCTTTTCTGGCAAGCAATCACACTGCCTGAAGCCTCACCTGAGCTTTGTATTGCCATAAGCCAAGTAGGAATCCAGGAAGATGCAATTTGAGCTGTTCCGCTGCCTTCCAATAATGCCTTAACATGTGGTCTAGTCTGCTTAGCAGCCTGGTGACCAGGGAAGAAGGCCGACCCCTCGGCGTGGAGCTAAATCCGCATGATGACCATCCTGTGGCCACATGACCCCCATGTGGACCATTGGGGGGATATCCCGGTCCACACTGGAGGCACTCACCGCTTCTCTGCAACAGCATCTCTGGGGAACCGAACACAACATGGCGCACCCAAGATTGCCACCACACTTCATCATACTCACCTACAGGAGAGCTTATCACTCCAAACCTGGAGAGAGCACTTCAACATCTGCTTTGAACAGCTGTGTCAGGAGTTTTGCAGGATGGATTTGAAATGAAACAACTGAGATGCAATTGAAGTGCAGACTTCAGCTTTAATTCAAAGGGTTGACCAAAAGTATCGTATGAAACTTTAGAAATTGCAACCATTTTCATACACAGTCCCCTTATTTCAGGGGCTCAAAAATTGGACAAATTAATGCAGTCATATTTTTGAATACTTAGTCAAGAATCCATTGCAGGCAATGACTTCTTGAAGTCTGGAACACATGGACATCACCAAATCCTCTTTTGTGATGCTTTGCCAGGCCTTTACTGCAGCAGTCTTCAGTTGTTTGTTTGTGGGTCTTTATGCCATAAGTTTTGTCTTCAAGGAGTGAAATGCATGCTTGATCGGGTTGAGATCAAGTGATTGACTTGGTCATTGCAGAATACTCCACTTCTTTACCTTAAAAAAATCATGGATTGCTTCTGCAGTATTGTCCATCTGTAAAGTGAAGCTCCGTTTAATCAACTTAGCTGAATTTGACTGAATCTGAGCAGACAATCCATCCAGCGGCTCCTATCTTCTGTCACATCATCAATAAACACTATTTTGGTAAACCGCCAAAATAACAAAACTTGTGTCAGTGTCCAAATATTTCCTGACCTAGCTTTACCTGCTTTTAAGATACCATTGTTTATTATAACCCCACTGATTCCCTTCCAGGTGAAATTAAGTCTGGTGAGTGCTATTCACTCTTTCACTCCAGATGTAGTAGGTGTCACGTATTCATCCGCTTATAAAAATGTGGTTAATGGCATTTACTGTCAACACATGAAAAGTTGTGCCGAGCAGCAACCAAATCCACAGAAGGGTTAATGCTGAGCAGCAATTATGCAAATGAGAACCTGGTAACTGCCTTTGGGGTCAAAGGCCGGTTACAGCCTATCAGATCCCAGTTCTCATCCTGCTCAGTGCCCTGTCGTGGTTTCCCTTGTGGTTGTCCGAGAGCGCGTTATTTATTTTTGTTATTCTGGTTATTTGACTTTGGCATTGTTTTTGACTTCCCTGTTTTCTGGCATC